CTCGCACACACACACACATACACACACAAACACACACACACACGCGCGCGCGCCGTCACCGGTCCGTGATTTCATCATTGTGATTTCCCTACACTCGTCTTCAATATTGTGTGGTGTGGAGTGGCAGATCGGGAATCGATACCCGCCATCTGTGAAGAGGTAGATTTGGGATCGATACCCGCCATCTGTGGCCTGCTGTGACGAATGATAATAAATAATAATGTAAAACCCTGATAGAGGAGTGTCGTGGAGATGCGATGGTCCGGCCCATTCATGCTCGTCTTCACACTCTCAAACCATTTGCCCACGTAGATCTAGGACATTATATAATCCAGGATACCGGAACTAACGGGATTTATTTTCGGATCCCTTTATACAATCGACACATCGTACAGTCAGTCATGACGACCTGGACTCTTTCGTCTGAATGGTACATTTTTGAATAACAGTCTGCATATAATACGTCGTGCACCTCTGTACAATACTCTTTGTTTAAATTATTGTACACTGTATTACAACCAACACACAACACAATCAGTGACCTATATATCTGGGGACCCTCGTGTCTAAATTGTACATTTAAAAACACTTTATGTACATTGTATACCCCTGTATGACTCTATGTCTATATTATACACTGACAGTCAGTGACCTATATATCTGTGGACCTTAGTGTCTAAATTGTACATTTAAAAAACACTCTATGTACATTGTATACCTCTGTACAACTCTCTCTATGTCTCTATATTATACACTGTACAACCAACACACCAAACAATCAGTGACCTATATAATCCCTGGACTCTCTATGTCCACGTTACACACTGTGTACCAGAATCACCCGTCTATGTCTATAAATGGCGGTTGCTCTGGTGTGGTTTAAATTGTTCCTTCTTTCCTCTCAAACATCTGTCGTTCTGATCCCTCCTCCTTTTTTGTGTTTGTTACTAAAACACCTCTAATATTCGGCCCTTATATGACCTTATTGTGTTGCAAGTGCCGTAATACAAAAAACCTCTAATATTCGGCACTCATATGACCTTATTGTGTTGCAAGTGCCGTAATACTCATACTAAAACAAAACAAAACTCTATTACTCTTACTCTTACTAAAACTAAACTATGTATGTCTCTATATATATAATACATTGCATTGCGTGCGTACCTGTATGAT